TTACATCTTTAGTCACTCTATGCCTATAGAGGCTTTGAGTTGTAGCTATCTTACAGGTCAATTCTTTGGGTCAAAATGGTATGCGTCCCTGTGGAACAAAAGAACTGCAGCCCTACAAGATAGCTACCATACAATGCCTCTAGACTCTGCATGCGACCATTATACTGTGTCTTGATAGGAAAAGAAAGCTAATTTTTGCCTGCTTTTGGGAAAGTCACCACCCACACGTCATCTGGTCTGACATTCCAACACTTGAAAGCCTTGACTACATCAGCAACGTTCGGTGGCAGCTCGATTCCCTCCACCTTCTCCTCTACTGGGGCCTGTCCTGCCGGCATTTGCGCCACAAAATCGTGAAAGGCCTTCCACAATTCCCGATCTAAAAGGAGATTTGAAAGGATTCATTCTGAAAATCGGCCAATCTGGGTTGGGTCAACTTGTTGAGAAAACTTGTAAAGAAAATTTTGATTAGGCATGGTACGTAAGAAGGTATTTTCAATTAGGTTAAGAAGAACTGGGTACTGGTAAACACCTCATCCAATTGGGTGGACAATATTCCTTGACAATAATGAGGTAAAATGATGAAACAGCTTCAGGCAAACAGCACACTGCACAATGAGAATGGTACTTACACTCTTCCAAGGTGACGTACTTTTCCATCGCGCAACTCAAAATGGCAAACTGGGAAGAAAAACAGATGTCAGATTTTCCAAATATCTGCAAAGCAAAAAAAAAAAAAAAATACAAAATAAACGGAACAAACAGTTTATGACATAGGGCAGAGTAGTATTTCTTTGCTTCGTTCAGTTTTGAATTTATACAAACGTAAGTGAGTGTGTAAACGCCTTCAGTCGTGAACCTATATAATAGGGGACAATAGGGTCCACGGTTGCCGAAGAGTCCAGGGTTGGAAAACGTGTACAAAACATATGGGAGGTCTTCCGAAAAAGTTAAAGTATGAACAAAAGAGGAACAATAGGGAGTCCACGATTGAAGGCGTTTACACACATGCGTGGTAGAGTGCCACATTCTCCAAAGATGTGTTAATCTTTTTCGCCAAAAAAGAGCTAATGCCCAACTTCACTTTCCATCGTTACTCGTACTCCGGCCAGACAACATTTATAAGACGGATGAAAAACACCTCGCACAATAAACACAATGAATATGACGTTAATGTTTTCAAGTAAAGAATGATTTTAAAAATAGCCATCTATGCGTGTGGAGTCAGAATCTCCATTTTTTGACCAGCGGGATGGGCTATTGAATCACCAACACTTTTCCACGGTGACAAGCAAAACACACACACACATACCCACTAAGAAACAGGCATTTTTTCCACGGAATTTTTCACTTTCAACAACCAAAATGTATCCTTAGCGCTGAAGAACAAGCTACAAATTAAATACACAATTCTGATAAATGGTTCGGTATGCAACATCAGTGCAAGGCTATAGAGACAGTTACGACGTGAGTGTCTCAATTATTGGAACCAAAATTGTGGATTATGTGTCAGTGCACATAGACAATACGGGCGATTACGACACTGCGCCTCCAAAAAGTTTGCGACATCATTGGGGAAGCGTTTATGGGGATGTCTCAGGCTAGCTGGGTTTATGAATTCAGGGACGAGTTTGATCGTGAGGGAAATTACGGCAAAGTTCAGTAGATGTTGTGCTGAAGAACAACGGGTCGGCATTCCAGAATACTTTAAAATATTACAGTATTTCAGAGGAGTCACTGTTTATTAGACTTATTAACGTGTTAAAAGAAAGGGAGTGGGTATTTTCCAGTTTTGCAGTCTAGGTTTTGACTTCGATTTGCATGTTGACACAAACTGCCGACACTTTTTAGTCAAGCAATTTTACCACTTATTCTTCACGCAAACGTTTTACCTAATTCTTATTACTTTCTGTGATTTGTGGATGCTGTTTTGTAAATAAATAAATATCGTCTCAAAAATCAGATATTATTATTAAAAATGAGATTTTGTAAGCACAACCATTACTATGGGGCTTGCCAGTGCGTAAAAATTACATCTAAGGGCCGACCATTGCTTAAATATTGACTTAGATGTCTTCTGCAGGGTATTTCAAAAAGTAAACTTAAGTTAAATCTTACTGTCCACCCAAATCCTGCAATCCAGTGAATTTGTATTTACCTAGTGTTGATGCATGAGTAGAAATGTCGCAATAATCCTGAAAAGTTGTTGGTAACTTGATTGGATCTCAAGGTATCACCTGCATTACAGACGGCAAAACTGACTTGTCCACGGGGCTTTCATACCTTTAGTTTCTGTCTTAAACATTCTGCCCTTTAGTGCTCTGTCTGACATGTATTGCACTGCATGTAGCGTTAGACCATAGAGGAAGGACACAGAAGAAGTTTGAATTGCCGGGGCCGTAAACATTTGGTCAATTACCGCTTTCTGGCATACCTGGTATGTCCATAGCCAGAGCGCAGCGAACGCTTGCTATGCACCATCTGTTCACAACCACAAAACCCCTTTCTACCCTATGATCGCCGCCGCAATTTGTCGATGGTAATCTGCATCCTTAAAACTTCGTGTACTGACTTATAGGACATTGGATATTCATGTTTTGTTGGTACTTGGTATGATCTCATGACATCATCAAATTTAATGCTTGCGCAGTTGCTTTCATAACGCTGTGTGCCCTAAATCATTGCAGTCACTGCCCTTAATGAGCTCTTTTTTCTAGAATTATTTTGGGAATAAATAGCCTAGACGTTTACAAGATTTTGTGTTTTATAAGACTTAAAGGTTTTCATGGTGAAAGAAACTAGATCTATAGTAAAGATTGCGGTAACACCATGTATTTATCTCTTCTTTGAATGTGTGTGGTTCTGAGAAGAACTGGGGAATAACTCGACGTTTCGAACAGTGTACTCTGTCCGTCTTCACGATCCCTCTCTACACCATATAAGCTCCACTCCCAGTTAGAATCCTGCAGTCTCCTGAAGACGGACAGAGTACACTGTTCGAAACGTCGAGTTATTCCCCGGTTCTTCTCAGAACCACGCATACTCAAAGAAGAGATAAATACATGGTGTCACCGCAATCTTTACTATAGATCTATTTTGTGTTTTGTTTGAATCATTTTTATTATGGCATTTGTACAAAAACGTATTTTAAGAAATTTTACGATCACTCCCTGTGATGAATAGCGCACTTTGTTCCTAAAGAGCTAAGCTTTCCAATAGTAGTGAACATTTTGTTGGCCAGTCTTAGCCAAATTCGTTTCAAGTCTTTGAACATTGATGTATTGGACGGAGGAGAATAAAATTACACACTTTGCATGGATAATGGACAGTGCATAAAAATTTAAAAGTTTGTCTACGATGGCAAAAGTAGATCTAATATCAAGGATGTTTCTCTCTATATTTTCTGGTCAAGGCAATACATGTAATTTGTATTTAATTGCAAGCAAAAACTGTAGGTGTTGCTGGGGTATTTCTGGCCCCGCTTGTCCAGCTAAGATGCAGGAAGTAATCAGGCCTTTTCAGAATGTTTTTTATTATTTGTCTGACTCGGTGGCAACCATCATTGAACACTTTGAAGTGCGTGAGTTGCAACACCTACGTCCCTCCTCTATGGTTACACGGGCTCTTTTGATTCGGAGTCATTTTCAACTCGCCATCCTAGTTCAATTGTTATCGAGTGCCTCCACTGTACACGGTTGAAATCACCCAAAAGCCATTAAGTGAGGCCTGGTGACCTCAGTGGCCATTCTATTGGATGACCAAAGTCCAACTACCTTGTGGTAAAAGTTCTTGAAGCTCGTAACGAACTACGGTATTGCTCTTGTATAAGCTGGAGCTCCATCGTGTGTAAACCGGGCGCGTTGTATCTCCATTACGCACTTGCCCGAAAACGGGGCTCTAGTGTCTAACTGACAATGTTCAGGTAGGTAGTTCCATTCAAATTGCCATCTATAAATACAGGTCCAATTAGTCTATTATGTCTATAGTTAGTGCTGCCAAAACTAAAAGTTTTTTAACGATCATCAGGCCGATCATAGACGAATTCAACAATGTCCCATGCCTACCAGACAGATATTGCAGACAAAGCTTGCCAGGAAATACTTTTACATTTGTAAAGGCTAAAAGAGAGGATACTTTATATATTTTCGTTGTTTTCCAGCTGCCTATGATCACGTAGGCTCGGTCCCCATAGACTGTGCATGCATTAAGTTTGTGTATTGGCGCATGCGCAATATTGACATAATGTTGTCGGCCTGAAAAAATATTCTAGCAGATGACGTATATATAAATGGTGACCCATGTGAGGAATTTGTACTGCCATTTCCCTTGAAGACCTCGTGTGTGAATAAATTGCCAAAAGTCAATCAAATGGTAATATTTAATAGCTTCTGGTGAAAACGATCGCCGGAAAAAATCAAAGAAAGTGGAAAATGTGGAAATCTTTTTTTTACTTAGCTTTGTGTCAAATTATCACAATTATGCCGAGTTAACCTTCAAATAACTTTGATGCCACATGAAAGACTAGTAACTTTTATGTACAAAAAGGATTAGTACTTCTAGGAAAAAAACCGGTTTTTTGAAATTCACTCCGTGTTTCATTGGGACCCATTTTCGTCATTTTCCGTGCATTTCACCTGAACTTATGCCCTATTTTCACACTTTTTTCGAATTCCCCTCAGATCATCGGTGATACTGTCTGGAAGACTGATAATTTTTTTTGCATCTAGCAGTTAATTTTATTTTCATGATCGAGAGACATTTGTCTGAAATGCAGTTCGATTTTCATGCGGATTCAAATTTCCACACTGAGTTCGACAGTGGTCAAAAATGAGATGTCCGGATTTGGGGCATGGTCCGGTGCACACGTACGTTCACAGACCTGGATACGAGTGCGTTTTTGTACAAGTTGGCCTACTTGCACGAATACGTACAATCATGTCAAATTGCCCGACTAAAAGGCATAAACAAAAACTTTCCATTCTCATCCACACGGTTTCCTTCTTGTATGATACTTTCTCATTAGAGCGTTTATGATATTCCTCACCATTCACAACTGAGTTGAGAAATGTCAGGGAAAACTCAGCAAAACTGAAAAAAATCCCCTCTAAAATGTTGGCTTCATTTCCAACCTTTGAGTCTGTTACTTTGAAGGTACAAGACGGGCAGAAAAATTGGCAGAAAAAGGATTTTTACCGCCCTCTGTAACTCTGTATACAGTGTAGTGGCATCGTCACAAGGGGTCTACAACAAGACTACGCGGTGTCATTTGTTAACCCCATCACAAGTAACCGACAGTAATCTATTTTAGTCACAATTAAAGGATGTTGTGAACACTGCAGTGAATACACAGGGTTATGGTTCCACGTTTGTCGTATGGGCCTTAGCCTGTGGAAGTTTACATTACATTCACCCTGGGTCACGGACAAAACGCGTTGAAGGTAGGTTGTGGTAGAATATATAGAAGAGTCAGATTCACCCATTATCATTAACCCTATCGTTAATCTCTGCAACAGGAATACTTACCGCGTGGACAGATGATGAAATGCCAACTCTGTGGAGACGTGCTTATAGGAAGCGTATTTGTAATTAAGCCGTGTGTACGTCGCTCTAAGTTTGTAGCACGCACAATCAAACGGGAAGTTGAGCACAAAAATTAGGAAGCTGCACGATTGTGCATCTAAATAATATTTCATGTTTCTCCAAAGCATAAAAAAACAGTCACTTTTTTTTTAACACAATGCTCATTATTGTGTTCAACTTTTCTGCTCATGGATGAAATGATACAGGAAATCTGTGTCCCCAGGAGGAAAGCAAGTGGATTCGGGGAAGTGGTCTGCTCCCAGCTCGATCGAGCAGTCAGTATTTTCATCATCAACCTGGTTGCTGTCTTTTCTAAATGGAACATGAAATAGATTTGTCAGTGAGATTCTGACATGATGAACCATGATCATGAACCACATGGGACCAGTGGGAAACTCTAGACATCTACCCCAAAATTCAACAACTGTTGTCTGTTCGACTGACAGCTACAGGGAGAAACTATGATATATTTTGACCTGGCCTAGACTTGCACTTGGCAGCTTAAAGTCCAATGCTGGGCGAAACCCGCACAGAATTAATGGGTCAGCGATTTGCACTGATCGTGCTTTAGGCATCAGGGACGGTAACCTGCTTCACATTCCATGTATGTTTTACCCTACAGACCACGGGGGACTCCCTGGACTGGTCACCGTCCCTATTGGGTTGTAGGGTAATTACAATAACTATTATGGCGTATCTGAACTGTTGCACATGCGTTTTTCGTAGGAAGAGGAGCAATTATAACAAACCGGGTGGATGACCTCTTAAGTATAACAAACAAATTGCACAGGCAGTTGCGCGGTTGCTCAGTTAGAAGAGTGCTTGACTTGTAGGCAGCAAGGTAAGGGTTCGCGTATGCAGGTATGTAGTTTTATTTGATTCTAAGGGATAAGTTAATCAGAGGGTTTTTATAATAGCAAAGTAAAGCCAAACGGAAACTTGAGGGAAAAAAGTCTGTCCCCCTTCAATCAACATGCCAAGTTGTATTACTATTACCAGTGGGTTTACAGGGGAACAAGACTAACATTGCAGCATCATAATAAAGGTCGACCATTCAATGTCTGTAGAGTTTAATGCAAGTGCTAATACAGTACCGGCATACATGTATTTTCCCAGACTTACAGCATACGTTTGTCGCACTTCAGAGTTATAACAGCAGGGCTGCATGTAACGTGGCAGTCAGGCACATGAAAGATGGTTTTTATTAGCCAAATTGAAATTTGAATGTTGCTCACCGTCAACGCGTCAGGGTGTACCGAACTAATTCAAGCTCCATTGAAAACAATGTAAAATCAACCAAGTTTGAAGCCCCATGGTAAGGCAACTGAAGTCCCTGAGGCCTCTCAAACAAAACCAATCTGTTCTTTGGTCCCTTAGATTTTATTTCATTTTCAAGTTTTAGTAGTTTACCCAAGGAAGTTTTGAATTGTCTGTCCAAAACACCCCCAAGTGAATGTTTCCGAGTCTTGTCAGCAGCATTTTTCAAATGACACCCATCACCTTCGTCAAGCTCTTCTGACAAAATTTCAATCACATTTTTGTCTGCTTTGCCCCCAGATTGGTGCCTCTGAGTGTACCGAGGTGATTCTGGGTCAAACTTGAACAATCCCACAATTTCCTGGCCCACACCAC